TACCTCTGCCTCCCAAGTAACTGGGACTACAGGCGCCCGCCACAACACCCAGCTATTTTTTGGTTGCAGCTGTCATTGTTGTTTGAAGGCCCAGGCTGGATTCTAACCTGCCAGCTCAGGTGTATGTGGCTGGCGCCTTAGCAGCTTGAGCCACAGGCGCTGAGCCTAAAAGACACAAAATTATTTTCTTGACTTCTGGAAAACAGAACACAGACAGAACCAACAGTATTTCAAACAAAAGTCATAACAAACTGACCTAGTTCCATGTAACTGATTTCTGTTCTGTTTCAAGTTAGGTTATATTCATAGACATGTTAACTTTCCAATGAAAGTTCTAAAAATCTGCTTTTTAAAGACATCAGGAATTTGAATTCGAGAGAATTTATCAGTCTCTCTTAATATTTCTTTTTCCTTTTTTATTTTTAGGACAAACTTTTAATTCAGCCAGTTACATAAAAAACATTTTTTAGATGAATTAAAATTATTACTGACAATATATATTAGGATAGACCAACGTCTCACATGTTAGGACAGACCAATGCTTTACAATATTGGAACATGTATATAATCATAACTCATACAAAATTAATTACCATTTTATATTTGACAATGTTTCCTATACATTTTTAATAGATTAAATTTAATTTGGTTTTTTATTAAGTTTTCAGTGGTTTTAACATTTTAAAAAGACCAGATTTAGAGTTGTGTTTTTGCTGTTCAGTTGGCTCAGGTTGAGGTTGAATCTGCCAGCCTTGGTGCATGTTGCCAGCGCCACAACTACAGTGCTACAGGTGCAGGGCTCTAAATTTAGAGTTTTTACTTTGGAAGTTTTGTTAAATATTAAAGGCTTAAACATTTGTTTAAACAAAATTACAAGCCAAAATATTTTGAAGGAAATACATAGTATGAGACTCTTTCAACCTGCACAGATAATTTATAAACATTTTAAATTTTCTTTAACTTTTGCCTTGCTTTTTATTTTCTTAAATAACCATTCTGTTTCAGGACAAATTTATCACACAGTGTTGTTTCTTTACACAGTGTCATTTTTCTTTCTATCTAATTTTTCTTACTCCCTAAAATTTACTTTTTACAAAACAGGATTACAGTTAACCATTTACTTGCCAAACTGAAGGTTTTAAAAGGCAAGAATTATTTTCTTTGATAAAGACTCAGTTTTTCTAACAATTTAAATAACCAAATTATTACAGTTTACAAATGAGAGACATTTGTGAAATATAACATTAATACAGGATTTTTCTAATCAGGGCTAGACAGGGAATTTTTATTTTTTCAGGCAAGGGTAAGCTCAGAAATCAGACTTCCATTTCTAGGCACAAACACACTGCAGGCCATATTGAGCCCTAGTAAGGTTATGAACAAAGCAGTCCCAAACATTTTGGAAGGCTCCATTCTGAGTAGGGAGTACACACTCTAATTTTTTCCCAGACAAAAACTGCAAAGATTTAATAAACTTGCCCAAGGTGCAGGGCTGTATTTATTTATTTGTTAAAATACTCATTCAGTTTGTAAAGGTATGTTTACTATTCTGCCCAAATGTCAGAATGGGGAGTGGCCCTGGTCCAAGTATTGTTCAATGACGAGAATCAGGGCTGTTTTGGCTAAGGGCTGCAACAAGGAAGCAATAGCTAAATCCTGCAAAGTACCCACTTGTCACCTGAGAGCTGTGTCCTGAGTGCAAGGCAAATGGTGGGGTTGAGGTGGATAGACTGGCCGAGGATGGTTCCAAGAGAGGAGATAGAGGCAGTGAGGTGGGAAAGCCAGGTGTCTGTCAAAAGGAGTGGGCAAGTTTTCATAGGCAGTGAAAAGAATCAAAACTCCTCTTACTATGTCTGAATTTTTAGCCAGTCATTGCTGCTGTTGTCAGCAGCAACCTTGTTGCCTGCATAAGCGAGAATGAAGGCTTAACAGGAAATGTGATTGGATGACAAAATAAATATACTAACAAGTCAACAGGGTGGGAATTTTGGACCCACCACGGGATAATATTATTATAAAAATCTATCCAATTTCTTTCTCTTGACTGATGGCAACTAAGAGTACCACAATCAGGCAAATGTTAATCATGGAAATTCTGAAAGGAAAGATAGTCTGAGTAACAACACTTGATAGTGGGAGAACAGAAGGGACAAGTTGCCAGGGTTTTTATATGGGCTTTTAATAGAAATCTCCTTAGACTAGGAAAAGGAGAAGACTCCACGTTGAGGATTAGTAGCTTTGATAGAAGAATCCTCCCCAGGAGACAGAAAAAGGAGGGGCTCAAAAGTCTGGTGACAATGGGGCATCAAAGAGTTAGGGGGATGCAGAAGGATTAGAACTAGGTGGGGACAGAAGTATGAACAAGGTCACATGTTCCCTGGTGGATGGGGGGGAGGGGGGCAGTGCTACCACGTCTAGTACCAATAATAAGGATGAGGAGACCAAGGACTGCCAGGCCAAAGATGCACCAGATGGTGAGGGGTGCAGGACACACAAGAGCAAGTAGGTAAATAAGGCAGTTTCAGAAGGAGTAAAGTCTTGAAGGGTCCCTTGAAAGAAAAGATCTGCAATCCACTCACAAATGTTTTTAAGACTGTTTTAGGCCAAGACCAATCTTCCAATAAACACTGAACAAATGACACAAAACTACAAGACAGACATGAGCCCAACATGAACTATGTTTAATAATCTATAGTTTTTACTCCTGTACTCTTAAAATCAGTACACGAACACACTTTTATATACTTTGTAACGGGCCTTTGGGTGATCAAATACCCCAGGGGTTGATTGGACCCCCGTTTTCATTTTAATGGTGTTTCTGGTGATGGGTGTTAACACATTTCTGGGGGTTCTGACAGGCCAGTAGGGCTAAGGTTCCCCACTGGTCGGGTTGGTCCCCGACACATGCTTTCACACACCTCCAAGAGCCTCTGATAGTCAATAGCCTGGCAACCTGGTGTCCCTATTCAAAGTTACTGTCTCTTTGGCCTTCTCTTGGAGGTTCCTAAGGGCATTATACAAATTTCAACAAATGAATTTAACAAACAATTACATATTTTTACAACAAATAAGTACAACAAAATAATATTAATAGTTACATTAGCATCTGCAGACACTAGCTAGAAATAAATGTTAAAAGTGTCTTACCTCTGGAGGTGGACTCAAGGATGAACTTAGGGATGATCGTTAGCTGGTCTCCTGAGGGCTCCAAGTTCTCCAGGGACCCTGGGATGTTTCCAGGGGGTGCCTCCCCTCAGAGGGACCATAACCTTCCCCCGTCCTAGAGGCCGCCTAAGGATTGGCCGAATGCATGCCAACCAGAATAATGTTAAGCCGCTACTGTTTTAAATTTTAAATGGGTAGTTGACTTTGGGTTTTTGAGTACCAGCACTTTATCTTAAAATTATTTGTAACATAACAATTGTAATTTTAATAGCTAAAAAGGAAACAGTTTTAATAAACTTTGTAGTAACTCTTTAATTGCCGAAAAGAAACCAAATCTTAAAGCCTACCAGACTGTCCAAACTGCAATATTTTTCATGGCACAGCTTCTACCTTTTACTCTCCCTGCATGATTTTGCGGGCTCAATTTAATATCTTTGCCAAGTAGGTGCCTGTACTCAAAGTCACAAATCACCTTGAGACCAAGGGAAGCTGGTTAGTTTTACTTGCAGAAAATGTGTAAAATAGCCAGTTTTACTTTTTTTACTGTTACTCTTGGTGCAGTGGCTGAAATTAAAAAGTTACTGAAAGAGCATTTTCAAAAATTACCCTGTCTTATTTTGAACAAATGATTAGGCAGACAGTAACAAACGGACAAAGAAACTACAATATAAACATCATAAAAACCAGATAGACCAATAAGGCAAAAAAAAAAAAAGACAAGTGAACAGGATAGAAAACACAAACGGCATTCAACAGACAGAAATTAGTCAGATGCGGAGTCTTGCCTGACCCCCACTCAGATGCCTTCCCGGCCACATCCCCAAAGGGTTGAAAACTCTTATCTTGGCATAGGCGGAGAGGTATAAACCCCACTCCAGGTCAACCTGAAGGGCCCGCCACTAAGCCATATGGTAAAGTCATGGACCATGGATGGAGGCCCACTCGGACTCCATGGCCTCAGGGTCATGGAATCACATCTAAACTCTTTTACTCACTCATACAGATCATACAGTAACACAGAACACGTAAAAACTTAAAATACTTTAAACTAAGAGCAGCTCTGAACTTTAAGACTTGCAGGCTCCAACCTTTAGTTACCAGAGTTATCAAGATTACCAGTGAGACAGGGAGTTGTCTCTCCCCTGCCTCGGGAACAGGTGTCTCAGGCTGCATCCAGCTTAGCCTTTTGTTCCCCCAGATTCTCTAGAGACCAGAATAGAACAGAACAGACTTACTGAATTGGAAAATTTGGGAACCTGTGCCCAGAATCCATGTGTCCACGGGCCCCTGGGGCGGAGAGAACGTTTCTTTGAGGCCTTTCCCTGGAGCCATCAGTTGGTGGTCAGCCCAGGCCGGGGTCAGATGTGACCTTGCTGGTGCCTCCAATGTTGTACCCTTTATGACCTGAAAAGATAGACTCGGACCCCACTTAAGTGCAAATCAATCAGAGGTTTATTGAAGCTGCGCAGGGGACTGCTGCTCTGAGACAATCCATCCCAGTAGAGGGCAGGTTGCCCTATGTAATTTTTGAGCAAGCATACTACAGAAGCAAAGCATGGCTGGTTAGCTCAGGGCAGGGGGGTTACAATCTGGGTAAATTCCCACCATTGTTCATCTGAACTTGGGACTTTTCGTGCTTCCCTGTTTCGCCTCTGAGGGGAAAGGAGGAGGAGGGAGTCAAGCTGGGAACTTGTCGCGTTCGACTCTGGGATTTGGGAGGTGGGCCCATTCCTAGAATCAACTCTGGGAGGAGGGCGGAGGAGGGCTGAGAACCTGCCCATTTCAGTTTGAACCTGCCACCTCTGGCATATGGGGCCAGTACCCTACCCTTTTGAGCCACAGGTGCCACCACTCAACATTAATTTTATTAGGGACCAGTTAGAAGTTTGAGGTTCTTCTCTTCCATTCTTAAATATCATACAAGCATAAAATGTGGTCTAAATTTTTTTCTCACATGAGAATTTCTCATTTGGGTAAATGCCTAGGTCTCAAACTACTTTGGCAAATAATTTTTCCTCTATTTCTATAGGATATATCATTTGGTAGTCTGATTTAATATTTGTTTTTCTCTTCTAGGCAAAAATAGCAAAACTTCAAAGACGTATTAAAACAGTAAGGTTGTCTCAAAGGAATTGTTTGGAACCAAACATGCGATCCAGTAATACAACCTGTGAGGTAGGTATAAATTGACAGGAATTTTAATAACTTACTCTAGCATTATAAGTACTTAAATTTAAGAAATGAACATTTTTCTAAGCCAGGACAGAAAGCATTAAGGATAGTAAGTTTGTACTTAGAATGTTCCCATGAATCTATATCTGGAGGACACCCTTAGGCAGTAAATGCCACTTGTACACTTTTAGTAGAGGGAGTAAAAAGATAGGTGATTGGTTGAGACCAGTGGTTTTCTTTCCTTTTTTTGAGATAGAGTCTCATTTTGTTGCCCTCAGTAGAGTGCTGTGGCATCATAGCTCACAACAACCTCAAACTCTTGGGCTCAGGCCATCCTCTGGCTTTAGCCTCTCAAGTAGCTGGGACTACAGGTGCCTGCCAAAATTCCTGGCTATTTTTATTTTTATTTTTTTAGAGATAGGGGTCTTGCTCTTGCTCAAGCTGGTCTTGAACCTTTGAGCTCAGGCAATCCACCCTGCCTTGGCCTCTCAGAGTGCTAGGATTACAGACATGACCCACCTCACTGGACCTACATCAGTGATTTTCAACTGGTATGCAGCAGCACACTGGTGTGCCATGAGAGCATCTTAGGTGTGCCATAAAAATTTTTAAAGATGATTAATTAGGGAGGCCAAAGTGGGTGGATTGCCTGAGCTCACAGGTTTAAGACCAGCCTGAGCCAGAGTGAGACCCCATCTCTAAAAAATAGCCAGGCATTGTGGTGGGTGACTATAGTTCCAGCTATTTGGGAGGCTGAGGCAAGAAGATCTCTTGAACCCAAGAGTTTGAGTTTGCTGTGAGCTAAGGTGCCATAGCACTCTACCAAGGGTGACCAAGTAAGATTATGTCTCAAAAAAAAAAAGTGGCCAGGCATGGTGGCTCATGCATTGCTTGAGCTCGGGAGTTCAAAACCAGCCTAAGCAAAAAGTAAGACCCCCGTCTCCATGACAAATAGAAAAGTTGAGGCAAGAGGATCGTTTGAGCCCAAGT